GGAGAAGCGTGGTGCAGCAGGGGTACGAAGTGCCCATACAATCACCCAAGAGAACCTCACGACAGGGATGATGAGTTTGAGGAGGGGACCTTGGCAGAGGAGAAGACGGATGACCTGAGAGAGCCGATCAAGTTTGTCTTCATCGATCTCGCAAAAAAGAAGCATGATATTCCATTCTTCTTTTGGCCTATGAATTACTCCATTCCAAAAAGTGGTCAAAAGGTTTATTGGAACAAGAAGAGCAAGCGCGTCAAGGTGAAGGCCCCAGAGTGCGTATTTGAGCGAGAGGCCATTCTTGCAAACGTCAAGTTCAATGAGCAGGAGAAGAGGCGGCCTTTGCTCTCGCGCTTTATCCTGTACCCAAAGGAATTGAACTTCTTTAGCTGTTTGCTGGCTGGTGCGAAATTTTTCAAGCATCTGTTGCCCTTGGTTCTGCATAGTCGAATGCGGTGTGTCCATACCCCAAGAATACACACACCGCAGTTAACCACAGCTGATTCAAAACCTGAACGGTTCAGCTCGCTAATTGTCGCCAGTTGTTGTGAGTCCCATCGTCAGGCTTGATGAAGGGGAGGTGCGCATCAAGCTCGACCAGGGGAAAGAAACCCAGGTTCACCCGGCAGCGGTCTTCAACAAGGTGCCTCGAGCACTTCGTGAAGAGTATTGTCGCTCAAATATCCCGTTGCGCGCTAGTCTGCGATTCATTTTGCGCGATGAACGAGTCTACTTATCCGCCTGGCTGAGAAATCCTCATGCCGAGCATCTGGCACACTCTGGTGAGCCGGATGATGAGTATGTCCAGGAGATTGACAAGGAGCTTTCCAAGGTGGATGGTCAAGAGGACAGCTTGGCGCAGAAGCCCTTCAAAGCCTTGGAGAAAATTCTGGACGAACTAGATGATGTTGAGAGGCAGCTGCGGTCACTTCGGCATGACGAGCACTTAGCCATTGCTGGATTGCAGCCAAGGAGCACCGGAGCTTTGGAAGACTTCTGTCGCAGTGTCATTCTAAATGTTTTTACGCGGCTGGTGTACAAGATTCAGCAACCTGTTAAGATTCTGGAGCAGGGACGCGAAGACGAGGCAGGCAAGAGGACCCGAGAGTGGATGCAAGAGGTTCTCGCCAGAGGAAACTATGTGTGGGATTTGGAGACTAAGCGCAAGACCGCAGGGGACAAGTTGAACTGCAGCAACAAAAAACTGCAGGAAGCACAACAGGCTTTGGCGCATAAGGAAAAGCATTTGGAGGGTTTGGACGCTCAGGCTTCAGAAGCCGAGAAAGTCAGTCAGAAAGTGCAAGAGACAAAGCAGAAAATGCACAAGGCGCAGCAAGAAGTGCAAGAGGCAGAGGAAGCTTTGGAAGAGGCGAAGGACGTGGGCAGGCGCGTACTGGAAAAGATGCGGGCCGAGAGTCAAGGAATGGAATGCCCATTCTGCAAAAGGCGTTTCGATCCCTCAGCCATTGATCGTTGTCCTGAAGTCGGAGACATACATCCTCAAGACGAGGAGAACATGTTGAGGTGGATCCTTGCGCAATGCCTTTGCACCTTGCCGGTGAAGTGGTGTTGTTCTTCCCTGAGTCTTTCACTGCTCAGTCAACAAAACACCTGCAACACAGAGTGGTTTGTTTGTGTTGCACATGCAAAAGAGTGTCAGCTCGCTGCATCATGGCGAAACTTCCTGGAGGTGTTTTATTGGTCCAACATGTCAATGTGTTCAACTTGTTGGTCAGATTGCATGAGTCTGGTTTGAAGATTCAAACAGATTCTCTCAAGATACTGAGTTTTGGAGAATAGTGAGTCAATTAGTTCTGTCGCAAGTGCCGAGAGCCAAGGTTTGATGTTTCTGTCTCATGGTTTTTGATTGGGCGAGGCGGTTGTGATCCCATAGCCTGGCCATTGACTTGGGCTGATTTGTGAGCTGAGGCCGCAGCTGCAGCGAACCAGGGACCCCCGTGAAGCCTACGATTGAGAGCTGGCTGGAAGGAGTCAACAAGGTGTTGCGGGATGTTGGAGCCATCCATGAGGAAGATCTTTCCTCATTGCTGGATACATCCATCCTGGAACTCCGCGACGGGGAGACCAGCTTGCGACTGCAGAGCCCCAGGATAGAAGGCGTCAAAGCCCTGCTCCGCTTGAAGTACGGAGTTCGGTGCAGCTCAACCCATGGCTTCGCTGAGCCAACCTTGAAGGATCAATTGTCCAACTTCCCGACAGAAGTGGATCTCGCTGCTCGTTTGCTTGGCGTGAAGCCAGAGAATCAGAAGTCAGAGGTGAGCGGCTTCCTGGGGTCTTGGGACTTGTATTGGCTGGAGAGTGGGACCAAGGAGTCTATGGAGGATGACTTTGATTTCAGAGATGCCGGGACCGCGAACCTCAAGAAAGTTGATGTGAGGGTCCGCACGAATGCATATGTCATCGAAGACGACGGTGGTCGAGTCAAGGTGAGACGGTCAGGAGAAATGTCCTGGTGGCCAGCAGTTACTTCGCCATGCAGCGTGTCAGATGGAGGCTCTACATTGAAGTTCAACGTGCACTTTTGCTCGCGGGCCACGTTGAGAGCGAGGCCTCTGCAACCTCACAAGTGGTGCCGCGTGGAGCTGCGACTGAAATCATCCCAGGGATATGACTATTTAGACGGTATGGAGCACACCCGCTGGGATGCAGAGATTGCTTGGTCGCGGCGTGAGATGCATTTCAGCTGTGGAGATCGGGGGAGGTCTCGAAGGATTCAGTTTCACAGAGCCAGGACCCTGCCAGATGCCCCAGAAGGAGACGAGGGCAGACACACAGCAGCCAAAGTCTTGGCAAAGCAATCGCGCGACTTGTACCAGCGCATTGAACATGTTGAGAGGAGCGCCACTATCAACAAGTGCAATGTCATCGCTGATTTGAGTGTCACCCGCACAACTGCACGCCTCTGGGCAGACGCTTTAGCCGACATTGTCAAGAGAAACTTCGGGATTGCCATCGCACCGAGACGTTCCGAAGAGGCAGGGAATGAGAAACAACAAATTTCCTCACTTGCGTCTACTTTCAACTTCAAAAAACACTTCGCATCCATCGCATCTAGATTGCTGCCACGAATTTCATTCGACAAGTGGCAAAGGCGCCTGCCTGGCAGCCTTTCAAGTCTTGGGCCATTGGGGGCCAGGATTGGACCTGGAAGGGCGTAGGCCATGCGAGCACAGAAGCCACACGGTTGAAATTCCCAAAGCGAATTGGAAAGAACGTTTTGCGGCGCCAACAACAGTAGATCCTCTCAACTTTCAATGTCTGCGCAACAGAGGCCAATCCAGATGCTGCAGCTGAACCAGATGCCGCATAATGGCCGACACCGCTCCCTGGCCTTTGTTGTAGCTGGCTTCAATTGGTAGAGCAGTTGTTCAACATTTTGTCAACATGCTGGCTGCAGCGGTCAGATGTTGTGAGGAACTTGGTCTTGGGCAAGTGGACGGTGAAGCTTCTTTCCAGCCTGGTTGCAACTGCATCTTGGCCAATGCGGAATATTCGGATATTCCTGGCGTTGAGTGTCACTTGTTCCGCATTTGCAAGTGCATGTACATTGGGCTTCAAAGGACAGGTTTTGTGACTTCCAAAAGAGCTCATTATGCAGGGAGCAGGATGGTGCGTTGCTTGAATTCAAGCTTTGTGAGTCTGTGTGTCTTGCCTTTGTGCTTGAATCCAGCCTGCCCTGCCATGCTTTCCAAAGCCGCACTTTGACCTTGTGTAGCCCTGTACGTTTGGCATTGCTGCTGCACTGCAAGTGAAAAGTTTGCGAATCGGACGCGAGGGTTGCAGCCTTGACGTTGATTGGATCTTGGCCTTGCTATTGTGCATGGCTTCCTGTGAATTTGATGGCCCGAGACTTTGAGTTCTCTAACAGGAGCGAAGTTCTTCAACGCGACGCCTTCACATGACCATAAAGATTTAAGCAGCATGCATTCATCCTGAAGGCTTGGCGAAACCAACTCTGGAAGTAAAACCTTACAAGCATGATGGTCAATGACGGAGCTTGTAGGACAAGGCCAAGGTGGGTAAGCTCTTGCAAACAGAAAGCATGTCCCTCACATCTCCCTGCCTTCATGTAGTGACTCAGAAATGCATTGAGCCCTCAGGGAAACGCGGCAACTCGACTATCGCCCCCGGAGCAGGCAGTCACTAGACGCAACCAAGGCTCAAGTTGCTTAAGGCTCTGACAAATCAACATTCTCGCGACACGTCGCCCTGCTTGCAAGATGCGGCAGAAGACACACCCAGCATGGACGTGCGCTTCAAGTTCATGGAGAGCGTGGTTGAGGGCGTTGCTGCTTCAGGATGGTGAAGTACATTCACTTGGGAAGCCTGAAGCATTTCGGGCACTTCCAGGGCTCAGAGTCCATTCACGACTTGCCACTTGCTTCTTGATTGGCGCCAGGTCTATGCCGTGTGGTGCCATTGCGACTTTTGGCTCCGAAGGAGTGGTGCAAGAACTTGAGAGCCTGTGGCACGCTGTGAAGGGCAAGGACGTTCCAGATCTGCGAAAGCTTGCGGAGGGGTCGCGGGAGATGCAGGCGTTTTGCCAAAGGGTCTCCACGTTCACGGCAGCGGGCAGAGAAAGGGCATGCAACCAGTCAAGTGCAACACGCGGAGTGAGCCAGTATGCCTGGATAGTGCATTCGGCCTTTGTGTGGTTGAATCTTCGCATCGACACGGTGGAGCGTGCTGAGAAGCTTCTGGTTGCGTGTGATGTTTCTGACACAGTGAATCTTAAGCTTGGGTGGTGGACGGGGGGAGGGTTTTGCACATCCCGTGGACTCTGCTCCATGTCCTCGAGATCAGCCAGGAGACGTCGGGACCAGCCCATGCCGCAGATGGCAACTCCAACGCAATGTGGCCACCGCCAGAGCACGGCCTGGAGCTTTCCAAAATGGTCTACGACGTTGTTGGAGGATCCCTGAGAAGTACACTGTTTGCATGGTTTTGGCGACAACTCTTGCCGCTTCTTGAGGTGACATCGTGGGATGTGGTCAATCATCGTGGGAGGTGCCATGCAGGTGCACCCGACTTGGGGTCAACGAGCTTGGTGGTGGCCTCATCCCAAGCTTCGCGGAGTGGTGCCGTTGGTGCGGGGGCAGGGCCTCCAAGACATGTTGCTCATCGACTGCACATTGCTGGGCTCCATTGCTCATCGCTGTGAAGGAGTTTGCTGGACCGGCACCTGTCGGAATGAGTTCTTCCTCTCTGCGGAGGAGCTACTCTCAAGCTGGCCCGAAATCCTCATCAGTTTTGAGAAGTATGCAGGGAGGATGATCGCATCAGGGAGCTGCTGAATGCGCCTGACCATGCCAGCGAATTGATGCTGCACTGATTTGCTTGAACTGACATCTTGGAGGAGATCGACGAGATTGGGGTGTTTAAGCAGGTGGCGCAATATCTCCGGGCTGCAAGCAGCTGGGGGTCAGTCTTTCAACGCTGGAGGGCAGGAAGTTCTTAGTCAAGGAGTGCAGACAGCATTTGGCGGACCATGTGACGGAGTCAATAGTTCTTGTGGAGTGGGATGAGGCAGATGGCTTCAAGGTTGAGGTCAATATTAATTGAATTCGGAACGAAAAGACAGTAAGTGATGGTCAAGTGCAAATCTCAGACCACCCCCGCAAGCTGTGTTCAGAACAGCAAGCCAACTGTCACTCCGGAATGGACTTTAGGGCAGACTCTGCAGATCCGCCCGCGAATCATCAGCAACACACTTGATCAGAAACACATTCCTGGATATTCCTGAGACCGTCAGCATAGATACGGGTTGAGGTGCGTAAAGCGCAGGAATACCGGGCCGCGGTCAGGATAGCTTTGCCCACTATGTACATGGAACAACTCACTGGCGACCCCCTTCAGCACAAGCCCAATGCAGAGGGCGGGGCAGACGAAGGGTTTGTTTCACAATGAGTCTGTGGGTCAATGCCTGTGAAAGACCCTGCAGCGCACTGATTTTTTCAATGCCACGGCTTTTCCGCTCCGAAGCATCAGACTCCCCTTTCTGCTGTAGAGTTTCTTATGTATCTTGGAGTCGGTTCTCAGTTATAACGTCTACAGCTTTGACCTCCAACCGCAGAATGGCAGATGGCCCGCCCAAAACTGTGGAGCTGCTCCCTCTGTACGGTGGCCTACATATGCGGCTGTGGGATAGCTGCTTTCATGAACCTTGCGTGATGGATTCGCGTTTTGAGAGTCACCACAGAGGTGCTCAGCGCTTTAGCGCGGGCAGATGACTTGCAAAGGGAGGTTGCTCCACTCAGATTTTTGGACACTCAGATTGCCCACTTCCTGCGGAGCACCAAGGCGGGAGCGCTGCAAGGCGCCAAGCACGCAGAGGAACGTGCGCAACGCTGGTTGCCAGCGTTTGCCACAGTTCTTCCAACCCGATTCTGGAAGCTGGGCATCTTCAGCCAGTGGGCGTTGAGACGGGCTCACTTTGGCAAGCGCTGACAGTGAGATTGATAGCTGCTGAGTCAGTGAAGTCAGGTCTTTGGTGCAGTGAGCCAGCGAGCCGGGATTTTCTACAGCCCGGAGAATATTTTTTCGGGCCGCAGTCTGCCCGAAGCACATGAATGCTTCGCGTGGTCGTGGCGAACATTCGCCATTTGGAGAAAAGCTGTTGGCAGGAGTAGTCGGTCGCACCCTGGCTGTCAACCATACCAAACCAACCAGAAGACTGGCCTCTGAGAATGCGCGTTTTAGGAAAATGCCACAGGCCGTCAGCCCATGCCAAGCTGTCCCTCCAATGCCCGCTGGCCAGCAGATCTCATAATGACATTGTATTGGATGACTTGAGGCTGCGAACCTTTTTCCATCAATGGCAGCCGTAAGAGTGAAGGGACAAGAAAATTGGCCGGCGTATGGGGTCCGTTGGCTCGGTTGCCCTTGCAGCCTGTGCCCTGCCGATTTCGGAAATTGTGCAACATGGCGTTTCCCAAGCTTGGGCATTTCCTGTTGGTTATAGCTTGCAAACTGCATGGTGTTTGTGCTGCTTGCGCTGTCCTTTGCAGAAAGTATCATTGCGCGGCATCTTTGTCGGCTTCAGCATAGGACAGCATAGGCTCATGCAAATCGGCAGAGATCATTGAATACTCTGTGATTGTGCCATGTTCAAGATTTCCCGCAAGTTCTTGCCCCTTTTGACACTTATGGCCTCATGAGTTGCAACATGGATGGAAGCACCTCACGGCGCCCTAAGGCCGGGTGAAAGCCTGAGCTTCAAAGTTCACCGTGGCGCGCATTGCGTTGGGGTCTTTTGTGGCCTTACTTTGCCTGCCAGCGACAAGCACGCAGCACAGGGAGGTTTCTTGGCGTAGACTTTGAAGCAATGCCAGGCCCTTAAACAAAGATTTTGGCAGCATGTTGAAAAGCTCGCCTGAAAGATTTTGCCAGACAAAATGCAAGCGGCCTTGCGTACCATTGCGTGAACCGCGCTCCCGGAACCGAAGCATTCTGAGCAGCCAGTCTTGCTGGCAGATGCAGGTTGAAGTAGATTGCAGGTTTCGGCCCGTGCATTTGCTTCAGGAATGCCCCAGCTAATCCTGCTTGGCGGCTTTGGAGCTGCAGGATAAAGCATGCATATGCAAGGGTAGGATGATTTTGCGACTGGAAGGCATCTTGTGGGAGCGCAGCTGGCCCATATCACCACGGAGTGGTGATTCCTCTAAGCAGATTTTTGTTCCCACGGGAGCTGTTGCATCTCAGCAATTCCTTCCTGCATGCAAACTGCAGGGCCAGGTGAGTCCCCGCCGCCTGAAGTCAGCTGGAGTTGCGCCCGTGGACTGAGGCCTTTGCAACGGGAGGTTGTGGGACAAACGGAGAAAACGTTGCAAGTCATACCGGCAAGAGCAAAGTGTTGGAAGATGTGTCAGCGCCACCGTCTAAACAACAACCAGCAGGGAGCCGTTGTTTTCAGCGTCTTCACCCAAGGCACTCGGGTGTTTGTAGACAAGGTCAACACCAAATTGGATTATCTCGAACGAACCCACTTCACGAGGCGCACCAACGCAACCATCGTCAGCATCATCCGGCACATTCTGGAACCCAATACAGGCTCGGGCTACGACCGAGCATTTCCAGACAGCATCCTGACTCACGCCTTTCACTCGGCACGAGCATACCCTCAGCACATGCACCGACTGAGCGAGTTCGACATTCTCGACTACGGTGAGCAGGAAGAATTCCGGAAGAATTCAACCCAAGCACTTGCCGATTACACAGTCATATGCGCCGAGCGATTCAAATACATCACGAACGAGATTCTGATATTTGGCCGAAGTGACAGCGACTAGAGGACGATTGGCCCGAAAGCATTGTTTTTCTCATGCAGCTCTTTCTGTGTAAGCGTCTCTGCGCAAATTGCTTTGTCGAACCGTCTGTGCAAGATGTTCTGCGCGGGTTTCTCCACGCAAGTGCTTTGCGCAAGTTACTCGCGCAAGTTGCCCGCGCAAGTCCCCTGTGCAAGTTGCTCTGCGCAAGTTGGTCTACGCAAGCGCCCCCGCGCAAGTGCTCTGCGCAAATTATTCTGCAGAAGTCTTCGAATTTCTGCTTGCAAGTTGCTCTGCGCAAGTTGCTCTGTGCAAATTGCTCTGCGCAAGTGCTTTGCGCAAGTGCTCTACGCAAGTGCTTCGCGCAAGTGCTCTGCGCAAGTTGCTCTGCGCAAGTTGCTCTATACAAGTGCTTTGTGCAAGTGCTCTGCGCAAGTAGCTCTGTGCAAGTTGCTTTGCGCAAGCTGCTGCATGAAGTTGCTCCGTGAAAGTTGCTCTGTGCAAGTTGCTCTGTGCAAGTTACTCTGCGGAAGTGCTGTGCCAGTTGCTCCGTGCAAGTGCTTTGCGCATGTGCTTCACAAAGGTTGCTCTGTGCAAGTTGCCTTGTGCAAGTTGCTCCGTGCAAGCTGCTCTGTGCAGGTTGCTGTGCGCAAGTGCTTTGTGCAAGTGCTCTGTGCAAGTTGCTCTGCGCAAGTGATCTGTGCAAGTTGCTCTGCGCAAGTGCTACCGGAGCTGCGGGAATGCACTCCGCGTACTACTTACTTTTGCACTCGACTGCAAATGCAAGTTTTTTTTGCTAATTCGCTCTGCGCAAGTTGTTGCAAGTGGCTCTGTGCAAATGTCTCTGCGCAAATTGCTCTGCGCAAGTTCTCTGCGCAAGTGTCTCTGCGCAAGTTGCACTGCGCAAGTCCTCTGCGCAAGTTGCTCTGCGCAAGCGCCCTGCGCAAGTTCTCTGCGCAAGTTGCTCTGCGCAAGTGCCGCGTGCAAGTTTTGTGCGCAGCGTGCGCAGGGCATTCCGCGGCCAGCGGGATTCGAACCCGCGACCGCCATGATTCGAGAGCACGCGCGCGAACCACGAGACAAGTTCCAAAGACCAGCTCGCAGCCCCAAAAAGTCGCAACAACCATCTAGTTTTTGCACCTCGACCACGCCGATCCCCGCAGAGGGTTCCCAAAGCATCCGCGATTGAAAAAAATCAATCTCGAAAAGCGGATTTCAAGAGCGATTGAATTTTGACGGCGGAGCCCGCGATTGAATTTCAACATCAGTTGCGCGATTGAGTTTGGTCCCGCAGCCTCTTCAAGTCGCGATTGAACTTGACAAGCCCGGGTTTTTTTCGCGATTGAATTTGGCTTTTCTCGCGATTGAATTTTGATTTTCCCGCGATTGAATTTGCTTTCCCGAGTCTGGCCCAGGATGAGCCGCGGACATTTGGAGGAAATCAATTTTAATTAGACGATTTATAGATTGTAGAAGCCCATTGCCAAACATAAATTAAATGTATAGTATATGTTGAATGTGATACCCGCAGCTCATCCGCACAATCGAACGCATCCGTTGTTGGCGGCTCGTAGCATTTGGCTCAAGCCCCGGCACCTGTGTTCTAACCCCGGGCCCCTCTGCCGTGATGAAGGCGTCCATGCGGGCAGGCAATCGCGGCGGGCCTCGCAACGCAAGAAAGGCAGATCTGGACCAAGTGGCCATGCTGCAAGCTTTCGCACAGCACGCTCTGCAGAACGGCGCGCTTGCGCTGCTGCAGTTTGGCGGCTATCTGAACCTGCCGGTGAGCAAGGCCATCTTGGGAGCGGAGCTGGCTCGGCTCTGCCCCATCCTGCAGTTGGTGCTGCGGCAGTGTCCGTCCGGAAAAAACAAGGTTGCGTGGCCCCCGGTGGTCTCAGCCGGCGGGTGTTTTGAGCTAGCTGCGACATGTGGTAGCGCCAACTGGGCTGAATGGATCCGGTTTAGCCCAGAGCGCGCAAGTAGCTTGCGGCGCACGGTATGCTGGCAAGTCACAGCGGGACACACAATAG